AGCTGTCAGCTGCCAACATTTTATATAAATGGTCAAATAGTAAGAAAGTTTCAGGTCACAGAGGTGAATGGAACTGAACTGCCAAAAATTGTGTGGGAACTGTAAATACCTCTTTTTAATTTTATCTGCTGGATTCACACACTGTGGAGTCCCTCTTCAGATGTGCTTCGTGTTAAGGATTTATACAAAATATAAATTTAATCATGTTGTGCTTTGTGACAGATATTTGTGCTATGCTACAAAACCTTTCAACTATATGCATTACAAACAAATAAATTCTTTAGAAACACACAACATTATTGTTTCTTGTGCTTCATTACACAGATAGAATAAACACAGTTAAGCTTGTACTCTCTTTGTTTAGAGAGACGGTTGGGTTCTCAATAATTAGATGATAAAAAAAGTATCTGGGAGGTGTCACAACTACTGAAGTGCTAACTACATGCAGAGTGTAAAAGATTTACACACAAACACACACACACACACAGACACACACACACACACACACACACAGACAGACAGACACACACACACACACACACTTACACGGACAGAGAATGACTGAAATTAATGGTATTTGACTGTAAGCATTATTGCAAAAAATATGCTTAAAAATTATTTGGAAAAAAAAATTATATATATAGGTATATGGTATATATATATATACTTCCAGACCTTGACAAATAATATTTGAATAATATCTTAATAAATATCCAAATGTTCTTGATTGCATGTGCTGCAGATGGATTCATAGCGTTCTTCATCCAACTACTGGCCATTATTGTCATTACATGATTTTTACTTGAACACGAAGTCATGCTATTTCTTTTTTTTTTACCAGATGGCAGCAATCTGGCCCAAATATACATTTTCCTTTTTTTTTTTTTTTTTTTCACATTTCACATTTTAGAAGTGTAGGATTTTACTGTAGTGAAGTTCCAAGTGTTTTAAGAAAAGTATGTTTTTGCCTGGGAATAAACAGTGAAAATGTCCAATAGCATTTTGTAGCCGATAAGCTATGTATCTACACAGAAATTTGACTTTCAACAAAAAAAAAAAAACCTGAAGTAACTGCAGTAAAGCCCCGGTCCCCTGTATCCAACATAAAAAAGTAAAATATTGTTTCATCAAAATATCATCAAAATAAATAATTATTTAAATAATTATTTGATCATAATTGTTTTGATGAGTTGATGAATATTTATGATTCACCATTATGTGTCCCTGTTGATGTACAGTTTAAACTGTGTGATATTAAAAAATCCAAGCAATGCAACATGCATTAGCTAATAAGAAATAAATGCATAATTATAATGTTTCATTATATTGACTGTATATTTGACTATTTTCTAAGGGCTCATGAAACTGACTTTTTTTCATATATCCACTGTAACAAATGCTCTTGCAATTGTGTGCCCATGAAGTATAGATGGCTGCCTCCAGGTCACATACTTCTGGGTGAAGTATGTGAGCAACTGCCAATGAGATGAATGGAAACACTAGCAGAATTGATCCAGATCACAACTGATCAGTAAACAGATTTGAATGATCCTTTTGTGTGGTTTCAAAATAGATGAGAAAATTTCTTAATGTGTTTTATGCTTTTCTGCACTTATCATCTACCTATCACAAAAATGTGAAGACAGCATACATTAAATATTTCCAAGCATAAATCACCCATCTAAAGACAATATATTTTCACAGTGCCTTTTACGTAAGCGCAAGGTCATTTTGAAAAGCTATTTGTTACTGATGACCTTGAAGTATTGCTGTGCTTCTGAAAGCCTTTAGTTTTGTGTTTATAGTGTAAATGAGCAATCATAGGGGCTCTGCGTAGAAATCATCAGCTCCACCAAACTCCACCTTTTCAAACCTTTCCTATAAATGACAAACGTCTCTGGTTTGCACACTTTTTCATCTATTGTATCACTGTAAAGGCTGTGGTTTAAAAATGGTCTCCCAAGGACTCCAGATTATGGGCATATCCACAGCCATGCTGGGTTGGCTGGGGGTCATTATCGTGTGTGCTTTACCCCAGTGGAAGGTGTCGGCATTCGTTGGGGCCAACATAGTCACGGCACAGGTCATCTGGGAGGGCATGTGGATGAACTGTGTGGTGCAGAGCACTGGACAAATGCAGTGTAAAGTCTACGACTCGATGCTGGCGCTCAGTTCTGATCTTCAAGCGGGCCGGGCCATGATCATCATCTCCATTTTAACTGGACTCTGTGGAATCGTAATTTCTCTGGCTGGTGGGAAGTGCACCAACTGCATTGAGGACCAAGGGTCCAAAGCAAAGGCATGCATCATTGCAGGCATTCTCCTAATTATCTCTGGACTTCTCTGTCTGATCCCAGTGTCGTGGGCAGCCAACACGATCATACAGAACTTCTATAACCCGATGATGGTGGAGGCCCAGCGGAGGGAGTTGGGTGCAGCTCTGTATATCGGCTGGGGATCTGCTGGGTTGCTTTTACTGGGAGGAGGAATACTTTGCTGGAACTGCCCACCGAAGCAAGAACGCATCTACAACCCCAAGTTCTCCGCTGTGAGGTCCAGTTCTGCTCCAAGAGAGTTTGTCTGAGACGCAGAACCCATAGAACTGGTCTTAAAATGCACACTCAAGTGACTGATTGATCTAATTCATCACTGTGGGTCAGCAATTTATCTGTAGAGTTACATGAGACATTTTTTACATGTAATAGCATAACATTTTCATTCTTCCTCTTCACAATTACAAAGAATTATGAATACACATCTTCTAAATAGAGATGAAATATGTTGTGATAATGTATCATTTAGCACCTTTCGTTCCGTTGGATAAATTCTATAAAATTATATTCTTTTTTTTAGCTCAAACAGTAGAGTGAAGTGCTAGAAACATCATGGGTTTGATTCCCTGGGAATGCTTGATGTATACCTTCAGTGCAAAGCAAATCGCTTTGGATAAAAGAGTCATGTATATATTACAGCTTTTATGGAGGGATTCTAAATATAGATTGTTTATTCATTTATTTATTTAAAATGTGTACAACAGTGCTGGGTCGACTACAAATTGTAATCCATTACTGATTCAAAATTACATGAAAAAATGTAATTAGTAACATCATTCATTACGTTACACATTTTAGTTAATATAATCTGATTTAGGTAATATAATCTGATCAAATCGGATTACTTTTGACCTAACAACATATAAATAAGAAAAAACATGGTTTTGTGCATTATATTGTGTTTTACAGACAAAAGCCTTCCAAAGACATAGTAACAGATGGTTAACTCATTGAGTGAGAATTCAAATAAACATTAATGTGTTCATCAGTAGTTGATGCAATGTTGAAATGTTGAGGAAACACTTCTTAGAACTGAAATTATTTTTGTAAATCCGGTGGTCAAATGCTGTGTGGCTTCTCAGTTTTCTGTGTAATTATAGCCACCTGACTAGTGACCGGTCTTTGTGTGAATGTCCACAAAACTGAAATGTATTTCTGTATTTTAGTTTCTAAATGTATATAAGTGCTAGGCTATTTTAGAAAGGTAAATTTAAAAGATGATGTAGTAGAACTAGGGAGAATCAATAAATTGTAAATAATTCATTGCTATTGTGTGAATAATATGTAATCACGTAATCAATAAAAAGTAACTGTAGTCTGATTACAAGTATTTTCATTTGTAATTTCTAGTTACAAGTACTTAATTTTAAACCCAGCACTGGTGTACAATAATACTTTTTTATTATTCTCTAATTTGTCATGGGTATTATGTATTTTTGTTATAAAACATTGCCATCAATAAAACAATAATAAAGTATGACTGTGATGTATATAAAGTATGACTCAGACTGTGATGTACGATATTAATTAAAGCATTTATCAAGTTCATACATGTTTAAAAACTATTGGGCAACAGTACACTTCCAATATTATTTCACACATAAATAAATAAGTAAACAAACAAACAAATAAATACATTAATAAATAAATATGTGAAATAAATAACAAAAGACACATGGTTTAAATGTTACGGCAAAATCTGATCCCTAGTAATCAAAACATCAGAATTTTTCTCTCTTGGCTCAGTGCAACTACTTAGCATATGAGCATTAGCCTAATTAATATACAGGATGTTTATGTGACATGTTCCACATTCACTGGAATTTCTATGTCATTACTCAAGAGTTGCAACTGCTTATTATTACTGAGATTCTAATTCCAGTGATGGAAACTCAAGGCATGTTGTGTAATGATTAATGGGCCCATAAATACTCTAAGGTTCTTTGAAGGCACTTAAAAGATGTCTTGCACTATAACTTTCTAACCTAAAATAAAGCCTAAACATTCTAAAAACTTTGTTATCTTGACCATGAAACATCTTGAGCTCAAGATATTTCTACATTAAGCAATGTTTTAAAATGTACTTCATTTCTGCTACTGCATCTGGTAACATAAATCAAATGTACTGAATCGCTTCATTGGTTTTGTTGGCATATGTGTCTGCTGTGGCATTCCCATGTGGCGCTTCACTTCGTACATCGGTGCCAACATTGTTACGGGCCAGATGGTCTAGTCCAAGACTCAATCATGCAACTGACCCAAGACTTGTAAGCTGCATGTGCGCTGACCATCATTGCAATAGTGATCGGCATGGTTAGGATGCTATTAATGTTTTGGGAGGCCAGTGAGGCAGCTGTCTGAAGAAAGACTCCTTTGGCCAAAGTCCTGATCCTGGGAGGCATCCTGTGCATTGTATCTGGAGTCGTCTGTCTCATTCCCGTCTGCTGGTCCTCAGCCTACAGCATTTTCAGAGCATTTTCACAATTGAGACCCAAAAGAGGGAGCTTGGGGCATCCATATTAATTGGCTGGGGTGCCTTAGGGGTTCTCCTTGTATCAACATTCCCTGCTGGGGAATCTAGTCAGGCTTGAAAATTCCTTAACCTGGTTTCAGGCCGATCCGACTTCGACTCCTCCCTTCTGAGACAATCTTAAAACTCTGAAGGCGAGGAACAGAAGTCATTACTACGATTAACAGAGGAGCAAACACTTGCAAGCCAACGAAGCCGAGCAAACGAGAGAAAAATGGTGTCTATGTGTCGACAGATCCTAGGCCTGTCCCTGGCCATTATTGGTTTCTTGGGAGCGATTATTGTTTGCGCCCTTCCCATGTGGAAGATGTCTGCGTTCATTGGAGCCAACATCGTGACAGCACAGATCATCTGGGAGGGCTTGTGGATGAACTGTGTGGTCCAGAGCACAGGGCAGATGCAGTGCAAAATCTACGACTCGCTCCTGGCTTTACCTCAGGACTTGCAGGCTGCTCGGGCGCTTGTGATCATCGCCATCATTATCTGCATCTTTGCGCTCGTCCTGGGGATTGCTGGTGGAAAATGCATAAACTTTGTCAAGAGGGAAGACAGCAAGACAAAGATGGCTATCGCCAGTGGTGTGATCTTCATCGTCGCTGGAGTGTTGGTCCTGGTCCCCGTCTGCTGGTCAGCTTACACCATCGTCAGGGATTTCTACAATCCCATTCTCACAGATGCCCAAAGGAGAGAGCTCGGGCCTTCTATCTATATCGGATGGGCTGCAGCTGTGCTGCTGATCCTTGGAGGAGGCATTCTGTGCAGCTCCTGCCCACCCAAGAAAAGAGATTAAATATGTTCTGATAATATTTATGCCGCTATATGGATCACTTAATACATTCCCATAGGATAAATTCTGTAAAATTATGTTCTTTTTATGTTGGCAATCCAGTAGCTCAAACTGTAGAGCGGAGTGCTAGAAACATCATGGGTTCAATTCTCTGGGAACTCTTGAACCGATGTATACCTTCAATGCAATGCAAGTCACTTTGAATAAAAAAAATGAAAAATATATATTACAACTTTTATGGTGGGATTCTAAATGTAGATTGTTTATTTATTTAAATAGTGATGATAATGTGACCAAGTACAGTGTCCCATACTTGGAATTTGTGCTCTGCATTTAACCCATTCAAGTGCACACACACAGCAGTGATTAGTGAATAAACACACACCTGGGGCCTCATTTATAAAATGTGCGTACGCACAGATCTGATCTTAGAGTGTGCGTACGCTAAAATCCACGGCAACGTTCATATTTATAAAAACGGTCTTTGACGTGGAAAAGTACTTACCGTCACGTCAGGGTCTGAGCAGGCGTACGAACTTTACCTTGTGGCAAAGTCGGAGTACTGCAGCTATTTGAACATCTAAGCTGCAATAATAATAAAAGCGGTGTACGTGCAAGCACCGAATTCATCATAAACAACAAAGATGCAGTGTGAGAGATTAATTGTGCAGTGTAGTCAGATTTTTTATTAACGGGAGTTTTTGCGAGATTAAACTGACCTTTTTAGTAGCCTAATGTTAAGAGTTCTTTACTCGCTTTCTGTAGTTTATTCCAAGTTGTTGTTTTTTTTTGTTAGTCAATAGAAAAAATATAACCACACACATTGTTTGTCCACAGAATAATTACACATTGTTAAATAAAAAGCGTCCCGCACGAACCTCCTCCTCCGCCAGCAAGACCTCAGTTTCAGACTCAGTAAAGTTTTTTTCTTTGTGCTTGTCATTCTCAAGCACAGAAATTCGGATATTGCCGTGTAATCTTTTATATGGTAATGATATTAATTAGGGGGCGTTTACAAGGCGGAGATCTGACACCAGTCAGCTGCACACAATTTCAAGATCATTTGCAATTTATAAATGTCACATCTGGAAGTTTTTTTGTGCGCACGTTCGTTTTCTCTGAATCGCACCTACGCACTTTTGAGAAATGATCTTAGAACAAATTTAGGACGGTTTATACGCAACATTTTATAAATGAGGCCCGGGGTCTTTATAGGCCTCTAAAGTGTAATAATGTCCCATATCTGCAGTAGAACGTTTTTATATGAGACTGCTGTGCTTTATCCTGACATTGCACAAAGAATGATTGCAATCATTCAGTCAGTGACGGCTGCACAAAACATAACTAATAGTACATAACTAATAAAACATTATAAACGGTTACGAAAGGATGAACAAATGTTTAAGTTTGTTTGCACAACGCTAAAAATATATTCCGTTAATGAGATACAAGGAGCGTCAGGGAAATTCATGAATATTCATGTAAGCCCCGCCCACGGAAACTGAAAATCTCCTAGCTGTTGCTAAGCTTTATTTGTGCAAAATAATGGAAAAAGACTAATTTATAAAACGGGAGATTTAGCAGTGTCACAGGGTTGTCAGATTTTCCCCCATAAAACCATCTAACTTATATAAAACATGTACAGCGCTCTCTCCCACCTTCAATACCACGACTGAGGTGCCCTTGAGCAAGGCACCGAACCCCCAACTGCTCCCCGGGC